GCTGGGGAGTCATCGCAGGAGGACGAGGAGGAGGAGCTGGAGCTGCCCGAGGAGGAGGCGGACGACGACGAGGACGACGACGAAGACGACGACGACGACGAGGAGGACGACGACGACGACGAGGACGACGACGAGGACCTGCGCACCGACTCGGAGGAGTCGCTGCCCGAGGCGGCGGCGGCGGCGGCGGCGGGGCCGGGGGCGCGGAGCCCAGAGCTGGCGGCCCCGGCGCCCGCCACAGCGTCGCCCTAGCCCGCCCGTCGGGGACGCCTCGCCCGCCCCCCTCCCGTGGTGGCCATTGTGATTCCTTTTGTAAGAGATGCTATTTATCTGTAACGCTGCCCCCCCCCCCCGCCCCCGCCAGAGCTACGCGATCGCACCCGGTGCCGGCGTGGGGAGGCGCTCCGGGCTCGGGGCGGCCCCGCCGGTGCTTCCGGACCCCGAGTCCGTCTCAGGACAGAGGCGGGGGCCTCCCTCTGGTGCTCCGGGGCCGCCCCCGCCCCGCCCGCGGCGCGCGGCCAGCGGCTGGAAGGACAGGCTGCGAGCGACCCTCCTCTGGCTGCACTTCGGGGATCTTCTTCAGGGAAACAGAAGGTGCTCTTGTCCGGGGTGGGACCGAGGAGCAGGGGCCCTGAGGGCGAGGCGGGCGCGCAGACACCCGGGCAACCGCCCCGCGCGCCCCTCCCCGCGGCCGGACCCCGGGCCCCGCGACCACGCCGGTGGGATTCCTCATTGCTCAGGACTGGGAAGGGCGCCGGGGGTCACCGCGACCCCCAGCCCTCACCCCCAGAGGCGGGCCCCACTAGCATCTGGCAGGGCCTCCCATTCACGCAGCTAAGACCCTCCCTCCTGGCCCCGGGGGGCGGGGGAGGGAGGGGCAGAGGCGCCAGCGCCGGCGACACTGCAGGGACCGCGGAGGAAACCTCACGGAATTGGCAGAGCAGGGGCGCTGGGCCCCGCCGCTGGGCCCTGCCCCGGTGTCTGCTCCCGAGGGCTGGGGCCTGGAAGAGGCGCGTCTCGGCCGCCCGGGGACTCCCAGGCCCCAGCCTCTGCCCACGGAGGGCTGAGGCTGTGTCCGCTTCCATACCTAAGAGCGGCAGGTGCTGGCGTGCTGTGCCCGGCAGGGGTCTCAGCCACCCACGTGGTGGGAACAGGAAGGATACCACTGTTTGGGGCTTTAATATTCAAAATGGGGAAAAAAATGCGAGAAAGTTGTACAGTATTTTTCCTGTAAAGGTTATTATTCTACATAGAACAAAAAGAAAAAAAAAAGGCAGGTGGGCCGCGAGAGCACAGGCCCGCCTCGGACCAGCCCTGAGGTTGGAGACCGAGTGCAATCGCTCACGTGGGATTTCGTTTCGCATTTATTTTAGAGGCCTTACCAGTTTGAGGCTGTCTGTCTTTACACTAGCACTGACGGGAGCTGCGTGATTCCAACTTTTAACTTGAATTTTGTAGAAACAAGAAAAAGGACTATTACTGTTGATACAAGTTTGTAGTTAACATTTGAGTTTTTCTCTATTGGTTATGCGTGTGGCTTTATAGGGCTTTTTTTTTTTTCCCTCAGTTTTTATTATTTTGTTTGGGATGCTTCTTTGCCAGTGCAACCCACCCAGACTTGGGTCCCTTTTCAAAACACCCCCACTTCCTGGAGAGGATGAGGCCACCAAGCCCAGTTTGGGGGGGTGGGCGCCTGGCTGGTACACACCAGGCCACGGGCTCTGAGGGCGACAGGGACCCAGCACAGGCGACCCAAGCTTCCCGTGTCTCCAGTCCCGGCCACCAGCCTGGCTCAGGTTGGACCCTGAGACTCTGTCGCAGGGAGAGAGCCAAGCCCAGCCTAGAGGAGGCCTGTCTCCCAGAACCTTCTCCCCACAGATCTCCAAGGGGAGCCCCACCTGATGGTGGGGAGGTGGGCACTGGTTTTCTTTTTTTTTCTTTTTGTCCTTGTGTGTGTGCGTGTGTGTGTGTGTGTGTGTGTGTGAGTGTGTGTGTGTGTGTGTGTGTGTGTGTGTGTGTGTCCTCTTGGCTGCCCACAGCCAGAGAGCCGGGATCATCTGCACTGGACAGAGGGAGCAGGGAGGGAGGAGTGGTCAGACGGAGCGTACCTGATTCAACAGGGAGCAAATCGTTTCCTAAAACGTGTCCCCTACCAGAGCCTCCTGAATTCTGTGGGCGCCTCGCGCTGCTGCTGACATTCGCCCAGGCTCTGTGCCCTACCACAGAGCTGCTGGGTGTGTGGAGGGAGTTTTGTAAAGGAAAAAAAACAAAAGCAAAAAACAAAACACAAAAACATTTTTCAATGTAGCAAAATTAAACAAAACAAGACAAAAACAAAAAAGACAAAAAAAAAGAAAAAAGAAAAAAGAAGATGCCGACAGTGGGAAGTCTAGCCTTTTGTAAACTCCATATTGCACACTAGGACTATAAGCCATTGCTAGCTCATTTTGAATTTTAATGTGTAATTTTTGTTTTATTTTCTTTCTGTGGGGAAAACAATGCTTGATCCACCAATGCTCTTTTTAATGTTTTATAACTATGTATGTGTATATATATAAATATAAAATAATATGTATGCACATATGTGTGTGTATATATCTATATGTATATACATATATAGATATATAGAGATATATAGAGAGGTTTTGAGACGAAAAATGCAGAACGTGAAAACCGAACTGAACAGCGTGTGCTCTGATTACTTGAATCTGGTCTCCTCGGCACCTGGTTATTAAGAACTGAATATTTTTCCACTTGAATTTAGTGCTATTAGAAATTTAATATATGTGTTTTATTTATTTGATTTTTTTTTTTTTTTGCATGACTGATGCAAGGTTTGACATTTTCACTCAATAAAAACTGGAAAAAAAAATCTATCAAGGTATCTTTTATTTTTAAAATCAGCCTCAAGTGGCTGGCAGTGACCGGGCCACGCAGGACGGCACAACCGTGGCCCGGCTTCATGTGCCAGGGCAGGGACGAGGGGAGGGAGTCGGTCACTCCCCAACCCTGGCAGGAAAGGGGCAGACCAGTTTGGCCCTGGGATGGGGCCGAGTTCCCCCAGGTTGCCGGGGACAGGCGGTGGGGCGCTCGGGTCCTGAGCTCCGGAAGGGTGGCTTCCTTCCCCGGCGCTGCCTGAAGCCCCCCGAGTGAGGCTCAGGGGCTGCCGGAGGGCAGAACTGACTGGCCTGGTAGCCCCAGGCCTCGGGCAAAGGCTCCCCCCCCCCCCCCCCCCCCCGGCCCCAGACCCCGGCCAGCCCCAGCCTCCCGCAGCCGGGGCTACCCCGGGCAGGCGCTTGGCAGGGTCATCCTTTGCCGCCTCCTTCGGCTCCTTCCTTCTTCCTGCAGGGACCTGCCTGGGCTGGGAACGGCGCGTACCCGGATCCGATCCGGATGCTGGCTCGGCTCCTGCCTGGAGCACGTGGGGGCAGAGCCAGAGGGGGCCGATTCCTAGGTCTGCAGCCACCAGCCCCAGGCCTGAGCTGCCGGCCCTGTGGCCCATCAGGGGGGGGGGGGGCCTCCCCCCCCCAGAAGCCTGGATGGCGCAAATACAGCCACCGGGCCTCGCCCAGAGCACAGGCCTCATGCCTCGTTCACCCTGACATTTCTAAATGGTGACCTGCTTTCCCATCAAACCTCATCACCTACACCACCTTGCCGGTCTTGCCCTGAGCTGACCTCCTCCCAGGTGGCCAAAGCATCCCAGGGCCCCGGGGCGGGGATGTGTGTGGGATCCAAGTTCTTCCACTTTGAGCAGCTCGCCGGGTGTCAGGCTGCTGTAATGAGCACACCCACCTCCCAGAGGAGGGAACCAGCGGGGTGGGAAGGTGAAGCCCTAAAGAGCCCCTCTCCCCTGGCTGGGCACCAGTGGGAGGAGGGGGGCGGGGGTGGGGGGGGTGGTTGCCCCCCCCCACCTGGGTCCACACCCTCCCAGCACCCTGCTCACTGTCGTTTCCACCACAAAAGCCTCATTCCCAACCCAGCCCCAGCACAGAAGGCCCTTTTCTTCTTTCTTCCTGGAACGCAGCCCACAGGCTATTTACATAAATATGTTTGTAACAGACGCGAAAATATATACTTTTTTCTGTCTTATTAAAATGTTCAAGTTGGAACTCGCCTATTGTTTGTGGCTATCTCGATTCTGTTAAATAAAACAGTGACTAATTTATGGGATAAAACACAAGTTCAACAAATTAAAACCATTATTGGAGCTTCACAGGCCCTGGTGGGCCAAGCGGCCCTCCCGTGGGGCCGGGGTGGGGGAGGCGCAGAGCCAAGCCCAGACCTCAGCTGGGTGAGTGGATGGCATGACCCCAGGGCTGCCTTTGGGTGCTGGGGCAGGGGCAGGGGCCCACCGAGGCTCTCAGGGACTCCCATCTTCAGCTGCCTCTCAGGGGCCTCCTGGGGTCCAGGGGAGGGAGGAGAGACTCAAGGCAGACCCCCTAAAAGGCCCCCTCCCTGGCTACCCCCAGGCCTTCGGGGCCCAGATGGATCTCAGCAGAGTCACACACGATGGACAGGAGGGAGGCCCAGCCTGGCCGAGGGCAGGGCCGGCTTCCAAACTGGACTCATGGACAAGGCAGGCCCCAGGGCCTCGAGAGACGAATCAGGAGGGCCTTGCGCCTGGCCCCAGGGACGGGGGATCCCTCCAAAGAGCCTCAGGGGGACAAGGACCTGTGACCCATCAGGACGCTGCACCAGGCCAGCTCACTGCCCTGAGTCCCGGGCACCGCCCCACAGGAGGGCAGAGAGGAGTGGCCACATCGGCCGCGATGAGACTGTGTCCCCGCCCCCAAGTGGGCGGTGAGGCTTGCAGCTGCAGGGGCACGCACCCCAGGGGCGCCGAGTGGGCCTGGGCCCCCACCGCACTCCCTGTGGCTTGTTGGACTCGGTAGGAAATGCAGTAAAACGTGTTTTCCTTCTTGGATTTAATTGGCTGTGGTGCTGTGATGCTCCTACACCCAAACTGGGGCAAATTCAAGAGTTTTGTAACCTCTTGGAAAGAGCCAGAACCAGCTGCACAGGCTCACGCTGAGCTCAGTGGCCTGCCCACCTCCCACAGACCTGGCCCGGCTTGGGTGCTACCAGCCGCTGAGTCATACATGGGAGTCGGGCCTCGGCACTCATGAGCGGCCGTGCCCCCTCCCGCCTGGACCCATGGCGACAGGCCAGCCCCCTCCCTAGGCCACGTGGCCAGCCCGCCCTGTCAACTTGGGCGGTGGCAGCTCGTGCACCAGCCTTCGTGAGGCGGCCCCGGCCCCACAGGCTGGCTTGGCCCGTGGCCAGGGCACAGCAGGTGGCAGGCGAAGAGGCGTCCGGGGAGCAAGGTGGACAGTCGGGCCCTTCAGACGGGCCGGAACCCTGAGGACCTTGTGGGACCGGGCCTGTGCCACCCTCGCAGGGAGGAGCCGCCCCACCCTCTCCGGCAGGCCAGACAGGAAGCAGCTCCCAGGAGGCCCGCAGCCAGCACGGGAGGCAGATGGTGATGAGCAGCCTGACCCAGCTGCTCCTGCGAGCCCCGTACCCTGTGCCCCTCAGAGGGTGACATATGGCTTCAGAAAGACCAAAGCTTTTTCCCCACCAAAGGATCCCCTCGGCCCCGGCCAGAGCCCTTCTCAGACCTGGGTGCTGCACCCTGGACCTAGAAGGCATCCGGGAAACTGCTAGTGCCTGGAAACGATTCTCCCAGGACTGCCGGGCTGGGGGTGCAGAGGGCTGGGCACCGGAGTTTCCAGGGTGTATTTAAAAACGTGGCCCTGTCACCATAAAGCAGATCCTTCCAAGACTTGTCAGGAACAAGGAAAGGCTTCAGGCATTCTCCTTATGAAATAGTAAAATCTTATCTCTTCTTCTAGAAGAGCATGAACTTGAATGTGCTCAGTAACTACTAAGGCTTGTTCGTCATTCAGGGGAAAGGCCCCTACAATGCTGGGGTGGGGAGTGGGGGATGGAAGCTGGGGGGGCACAAGGGGGCCACAGAGAGCACCCCCCAGCTAGGCCTTGCATGTCAACCTATGCCGGCTCTCCCCAGGAGGGGGCGGCTGTCCCAGGTCGGCGCCACACCCTGAAGGGGTCTACACTGTGGCTGCTCCCCCCACCCGCCCCAGTGGGAGTGGCTGATCCCAGGGTGCGAAACACCTGCGCAGGGCAAAGGAGCAGGGGCAAGACTGAGGTCTACTCCCCGGTGGGCATTTCCCCTAAGGCTGGAGCCACACCTGCAGGGTCTCACATGCACTTTCACACCTGCTGCCTGGACCCTCTTTTCTGGGTGGCTTGGCAGAAACCATCTTAAACAAACAGGCGAAGAAGCACTAAGAATTAAGTAAACTCCTGAGGTTCAGATCGTCAGTAAATGTCTCCTGCCTGCCCTTCCTCCTCTTTGGGTTCCAGGGCAGGGGTAGGGGCAGGGCTGGGGCAGGGACAGGGCCAGGGCCAGGCAGTCACCAGAGGAGAGGGAGGTTCCAGACCCAGACCCAAGAACCAACCTCAGTGCTCCTGGCCAAGCAAAGGGCAAGGGTGGGAGGAGAGCCTTCTAAGGAACCCTCTGCTCCCATTTGGTGTGAGCTCCCAAAGACACAGGATTCACTTGCAGTGAGACAAGCAAGTCACGGGACAGGGTGAAAGGAACTTCCCATCTCTATTAAAATAGAGGCGGGGTTGGGGGGGCTGTAAGTGCACCCACAAAACCAGACAGTAGAGGGGAGATCGTGTGCTCTCTGCTCCTCTCTATACTGACCGGAGTTTTAAAACATCTGAGATGTGCTTCCGCAATATGAAAAAGAAAAGAACGCTTAAAACTCAGCAGCCCCTTCCCTCCCCCAGGAAGCTCCCCTTCCCAGACCAGGGAGCGGGGTGGGGGTGGGGGGGCACGTCAGGGACATGGGAGTGCAGGAGGCTGGGCGGGCAGGTCGGGGAGCAGCCTCCCCGGCCTCTGCTCTGGGCTCTGCTCGGAGGACAGTACTGACACCAGGCCCCGCAGAGCCAGGGAGTCACAGGGGGCGGCGGGGGGGGACCCCGGGGCCAGGAGGGCCGTCCCGCAGCCTCCCAGCACTGGGGCCTGTTCTTTCCTAAATGACGCTTTACAAAACTACATTGTAATTGAGTTTAATAATCTTCCCCCTTCCAGAAAGGCCTGACGGGCGCTGCCTGCTGCTCACTTCTGCCCCATTCCAAATATTTTTACCTTATTTGGATGAAATGCATTATTTTTCTAATGAAAGGCTTTTTTTTTTCAAAGGGCTGTTTTCCCTCCGTCCAGCAGCTGCCTTTATTAGGCAGCACTCACGCCGTTTTGGGGAGGGGTTTTTCCTCCCTGAAATCTCGCCAGACTCTCTGTCCTCAAAAGCCGACACTGGAGCTCAGGACCCGCGGGGCAAAAGGCCTCCAGGCCTGGGTCTCCTTCCCCATCTCCCGCCCATGGGCCCCAGGGACCCGCCACGGACACCCCTCTGCCTCTGGCCGGGGATGGTGAAGCCTCAGGTAGTCCTGTCTGGATGGGGAGGTGGGGGGGGCACTGCCCGGACTCCCCTCCAGGGCACCCACCCTGATGGCTCCGGCCAGTGCCACCCCAGGCCACCTGCCCTCTGCTCTCCCCGTCCGGTGCCATTGCAGGAGGGACCAAGTTAGAGATGATGCCAAATGGTCACCAAGCTGAATGGGGAGAACCCCGAAGCACCCATTGAGGCCCTGGGGTTCCCATCCACTGTCAGAGGGCACGGAGCCCGGTCTCCGGCCACATCCCACGGATCCCACATCTGAGCCAAAGGCTCAGACCAGGCCCCCAACCCTCTGCTCATCTGTCTCTGGCCCATCGGCCTGGCTCCCTGACACCGGGAGCCCTGGCCCAGGGCGGGCTCGTCGCCCCCCAGCACGGAGT